TGTTGAAAATCAACATTGTTATCGATGCGTAGCCATCCTTCTGATCGATTGGTGATAAAATTATTGAAATTGAACCAGGGGCAGCTGAGTAATTAACGTTCAAAATCTTTCTTAATTTGTTACATGTTCCATTTTCGGTTTTCAAAAAGTGTACCCCCATATAGAAATCAAAGACGTAGTACTACGTCAAAAGATGTGGGTGTACTATTTGTATTAATGTCATATTGACAATTCTTCAATTTCTAAGGATGACTACGTAAATGCCCACACAAAATTAGTAAAATGGCAGATATTTCACTGAATTGATCTATACGCATCAATTTCATGTGTTTTGTTTTGCAGCATGATAATATTTATTAGAAATTCGAATGTGGCCTCTGGTACGGGTATCCATAATTTTCGAATTAGGTCAATGGCCACAAGCAGAAGATTCGATGTATACGTATCAATATAATAAAGTCAATTGTGGTCTCCATAAACAGAATCCGAAACATCTGATTTAAGTCACAGTTTCGAAAGAAATTAGCAAAATTACATTAAGACCATTTTTTGTGAATTTCAATTGTGCTCTCCGGAACCGGTGTTTGAAACATATGGGTTAGGTCAGAGGCCACTATATTGGCAAGATATTCGAAGAATCGTTTCATACGCATCAATTTGATGTGTTTTGATGTGTCATTTAACCATTCTTACGAGAAAGTTAATTGTGGCCACCGTAACCGGTATCCGGAACATCCGGGCTAGGTCACATGATGCAAGAAACCTTCAAAAGTCTTCAGTAAGGTATTGATTTAACGATGAAGATAAATTTAGATTACATTTTCTAATAGATTTACGATATTTGAAGAGTTACCACCATGCCGGTGCTGTGGCCAAACCTGACTTCATTCGGGATCTGTTGCCAATCACGTCGGCACATTTAATCGAAGTGACGTTTGAGACAAAGTAAACTAGATTGTCCTTTCAGAAAAAAACTTCAATAAGAAATAAAGTACTTTTATAATTTTTTTAAATAATATTTTCGAAGCTCATCCAAAAAGTTAACTTTAATGCAACATAAGAAACGACTTTCAGGACTAAAAAAGGGTTTTCTACAAAAACAATACAAATAATTCAAATAATGTGTGTCCACTAGAGTGATGCAAAATTTGAAATTTTCGCTGCACAGTGCTCAAACGGCTTCAAATCGTGTCCTGATCAGCATCCTTAAATTTGGTACGAAACTAACTTGGCACAAACCATTCGAAGTTTATATGGAAATTACAACAATTACAACAATTATGTGGGATTCATCATCAGAGGATGTTAGTGGAGACCGCATGAACCGAGGATGCGATATACCTAGCTGCGGTCCAATGCAAGAAAATTGGAGACCGAAAAATGTAGAGTGTATTAGTGAGGTAAATTAGTTATGTCGAAAAAAATAGGAATCCGATTGCCGACTGGACTCGAACCAAGAACGCTTCGATTATCAGACCTGTGCTTTCTCCACTGCTCTCTCCATGCCTCTGAATAAAGGGTGTCCACGATGAAATTGCCACACACAAAATTGATTCGCAAAATTCGAGTTTTCATCCGATTGCCATCAAATTTTCAGGGATTGAGAAATAACTATTAAACTTCATTTTACCATTTTACTCGTATTTTATTTACAGTCCATACGCAAATGCCCGCACCTTGGCCTTAACCCCGGCCATAAGATTCTGCACAACCTGTGAATCAACCGTTTTTTGCATGTAAACCCATACTTTCTTCAGTTCCTCGACTGTCTTCACTACCTTAGGTCGTTTAAGAAGGTGCTGCTTCATAATCGCCCAGTACTTCTCGATGGGGCGGAGCTCCGGAGTGTTGGGAGGGTTGAACATTTTCGGCACGAAATTGACCTTATTGTCCGCATACCACTTCAGCACGTCCTTGGAGTAGTGGCATGAGGCCAAATCCGGCCAGAAGATTGTTGGGACGTTGTGGGCCTTCAGGAGAGGAAGCAGCCACTTCTGGAGGCACTCTTTTATGTACACCTGTCCGTTCATCGTGTCCTGGGTCACGAAAGGTGCACTCCGCTTCCCGCACGTGCAGATGGCTTGCCAAACCAGGAATTTCTTCGCAAATTTGGACATCTTCTGAGTGCGGACATGCTCCGGAACGCTGAACTTATCCTTGGCCGTGAAAAACAGGTTGCCGGGGATCTGTTTGAAGTCGGCCTTCACATATGTTTCGTCGTCCATGATGCAGCATTCAACTTTCGTCAGCATGTTGAGGTACAACTTCCTGGCACGGATTTTGGCGGACTTGTTCTGCTTCTCGTCGCGATTAGGGGCCTTTTGTACCTTGAACGTTCGATGCCCAGCCTTAGTTTTGGCCTTCTGGACAAAACTTCGGCTTAGGTGCAGCTTCTTAGCCACATCCCTAACGGAGGCGTTCGGATTTCGGTTGAAGGCCCCAACTACGCGGTTGTGATTTTTGGTGTTGTACGGAATACTTTTTCCTTCACTTCTGGGCTTCCGATCGGTGGTCAACCGTTCCTCGAACCGCTTAATTACTCGCGACACCGTGGAATTCGCGATTCCCAACGTTTTAGCGATGGAACGATGAGAGAGATCCTTGTTCTCGTGATGAATGCGCAAGATTTTATCACGCACGAGCTGTTCTTTTGACTCCATTTCCGCGAGTTTTGATCACAGGACTTTAAAACTTGCAGGATGTAAATAATGCACTATGAACTAAATCCACCCAAATTTTCATTAAATTCTACCCAACGGTTAAAAAGTTAGAGCAATATCATAGTGTGGCAATTTCATCGTGGACACCCTTTATGGTTAGCCTAAAAGCAAACATGAAGCGCTCATTTTCTCGCATACTCGACTTCGTATGCTTTTTCTGCTGGAGAGATTCGAGGCAAGTGTGTGCGTCGTTCTACAATGTTCTACAATGTGCGTCGTTCTACAAGCTTACTGGTATAGTCGAAAGCGTAGATAGGGTTACGGTATGTAATGTGGGTCTAGTCCTTTCATTCGGCCTATCACGCAAATAAATAATTAATTAAGGAATATTACACAAAAAATAAGGAAAATATTGATCACTGATGATTGATAAATGTGTACCACACACAAATCAATTTATATCACAACATTTCAATACATTTTCAGCTCTCGTAAGTAATAAAACTGGTTGAGAATATCACTCTGTTCGGAGTTTTTAGCCGCCATGACTTCTAAGGTTAAGATGGGAAGGTTGCACTGACGATCATCAAATGGCCTGATTATGGCATTTATTGAATGGAATTACCTGATAATACACACTAGACGTAAAACTCACAGTTACTGTTTGAATATTTTATGTTTATTTTAATTGTTTAACAACGTTTTCACAAGTAAATCATGGACCCAACTTTAGGGACACATTTCTTTTCTATGTTCCTAACTTTGGCCCATGAAATTCATTTGACAGCTTATAGCAATAAGAGTAACGTCAACAATGTGGTTTGCATTTGGATGATAAGGAACGAACAGGAAGGGAGATTTTTTCTGCCAAATCTGTATAATGAACATCACAATGTTTTGATTTAGATATTCTGCGGTCGAAAGACGATAAGCGAAATTTTTAATTTTTAATTTTTAACTTGAGTGATTTAATGTAGTTTTCGTAAAATTTTCTCTAAGAAATGTTTTGAGGAATGAAGAGTATTAAGTTAACAGTGATAGTGATAAAAAAAAATACATAAGAAAACGTTACCAAGAGCGTTTTTTTTGAGAATCAAACAGGATAGGACGAAGTTGCATCCATAAATAGACCCAATTTGGGGACAATAGACCGATATTACATACATTTCCCTGGTGAGTTTTTGTCTTAAAAAAAGTAAGTTTTTCAACTTTTTGCGGTTCCTGATAGCAAACGACATGATAAGCATATCTAAGCATACCATTTAGCAGTAGAATATCGTTTGCAGGTAAATTAATTGATGAGTTATGATTAAAAACGTAATCTATGGCTGCATATTAGACCGAGGTTAGGGACGTATACCCTAGAACACGAAATGAAAAAGACAAAAAACCATTACATCGCCTGTAAGGTCAACTTCTAACATTCGCTGCGATGTTCATGAACAGAGGATGATAGGAAACGGAACTAACATTCATTGTAATAGATTTTTGGTTTGCGTGTAGGGGGAAACCAAACTTTTTGTTTATTGTCCTCTAGCCTTTTCCATATTGCTCTGATCAAACGTTGTAAATCTATTCTTATTGAAAATTTTCTCAGCGGTATGTCGTTTTTCAGCCAAATGTGAAATTTAATAGTTTTTTTTTTTAATTTAAGAGATTGATAATCTTATGTCATTATCAAGCAGCTATTTTGTGGGAAACACTGTATTCTGCAGTGTGACGTAGTAACCATGAGTTTTGTGTCCACGTCCATGTTGCCTTCTGAGCAGTTGCTTGAGCATAATCAAAAGACACCAGTGAATTGAATCATTAATAACTTTTCCTCATATTTTAGCGAAGAAAAGTTGTAGCTAAGAAAATTTCTTACAAAACTATTTTATTTTTTAAGCAGATTTAATTGTTAGATGATGGTATGAACAAAATATTTGAATTTCCATTAAAATGTCCATATAAATTTCAAATGGCTTGTACCAAGTTATTCTCTTACCAAATTAATTCAAATCTTTGGGAGGCTAACCTGAACCCGATTTGGAATTGTTGAGGCACTGTGAAGCAAAAATTTCAAATTTTGAATCATGTTAGTTCAGTTCGCTACTAATGTGTTTTATTTCAATTTCTGAAAGTTCAAAAATACTATTCAATGTTTGAATTTTTGTTGATGATTTTGTGGATGATTTCGTGGAGCCTATTTTTAGCTAGGACAACCTATATCAATAAAATACACACATTGAATTTGATGCACTAACATCTATGCTCTTCGTTCTCACCTGACCAATAGCAAACATCTCTTGTGCTCAATTACATTATCGCATCCTTTGCTTACAATCATGTCTTCCACAGTTATTTTTAGCATGCTTAGAGGATATCCAATCGCACAACATCCTAACCGATGTTGATCAGAACAAATTGTTTTCCAACATACGCGATATTTGCGAGTCGAACCTGAAATTTTGGACGAAGTACCTGTATCCGATGGTGAGTGTAATCTAATTTAATGCGGTGATTTACCCACCCTTTAACGTTGGCTTCTATTTCTTTTTCTTTTTCCTTTCTTCATTGAATAACTGAACAGGTTAAAGATAGCGTGGAAACCAAAGATCCAATGAGCGTGTATAAATTCAAGGACGGTTTTATGGAGTTCTCTACTATCTTTACCCCTTATACCAAGTACTGTGCCGAGCAGAGTACATGCCAGTATTACTGCAAAGAACTGTACCAGAATAACTCGCTCTTTATGTCCTACTGTGCCTGGTGTGAGTCGCAGAAAATGTGCAACCGGTAGGTGGGTCTTTCTCAACCGTCACGGGCTCCTGGTGTCTTCCTAGGGCTTTCCTAACTACCACTAATCCATCATACGGCTAATTGATTTTGGGGTTGTTTGGGTGGGTCGATTTGTTTGATGTTGACCGATGTATTTTATTTTCTTCCTTCCACTCTATCCCGACCCGATCCAATCAGCCTTCGACTTGCTGACATCCTGGTCCGGCCAATGCAAAGGTTAACCAAGTATGGTTTGTTGCTGGCAGCCATCAAAAAGCATATTACCGATGAGAACGAAGGTGAAGCGATTGACGAGATGGTGAGTGTTTTTATGGGCAATATCCCATCATCATACGGTGTGGGCACAATTGCGGAAGCGATGTTTAACTGGTAGCGCATAACTAAAATGACTTTTCCTTCTTGACATTCATTAATTTTACCGCATAGATCCACTCGGTGGAAGTGTTTGTAGCCGGTGTCAACAATCATCTAACTACCCGTCAGGAAAACGAGCGACTAAAAGGCATCAACGCTCGTATTGAATCGTATGACGTGGTGGATTCAAACAACGAAAACTTAGACAAAATGGTCAGACAATACAGTTCGATGTTTGACTTGTGTTTACCCATGCAAGGATCCACCGAGGGACGGAAGCTTTTCCTGGAGGGAGATCTCAAATTCAAGGACAGTCTTGGCAAGGTATGTATAATGGAAGCACATGCATATTTACATGAGTGTCAGCACTGACTTATCGACGTGAAACTTAACTCTTAAAGGCCGGCGCACAATAGATACGTTTTCGGGTTTTTTTTACAGATAATGCATGGGCTAGCTGTCAAAAAACCTGAAATCGTATCTATTGTGCGCCGGCCTTTACTCTTGTTCGAAAATCTATTATGGCGGGTTCAAATTTGAAGTGATCTTATTTATCAAAACAATAGAATTGTTTGACCTGATATATATGATTTCTCCGGAATTGAACAGACACAAATCGCATAATAACTTATGCACACGTAGTCATGGTTAAGCTAAATGTTTTGCGTGAACAGATGTCGGTTTGTCAGTGGTATAACCTATTTCAACTTTCGGGACCACCTTGGATTTATTTTCAGAACATGTTTCTCATATCTTTGTTGGCAGACATGATTGTAGTAACATTGTACTTCTTTAATCTAATACCACAATCGACGTACTAGATTAAAAGAGTAAAATACTAGTACAATCATGTTTGTCGATTGTATCACGTCGTCTCATCCTTACACATAAGAAGGACTCCATATATTGATCAAAATTTCCAAAATGCAATTGAAGGTGTTTTGCAGTGTATTACTATTGTACATATTTTAAGGTTGTTCTACAATTTTTGTATCCATATTTTAAAACATTCCAAAAGTTTTCATTTTGCATGAGCTATCCTAAAAAAAATTAAAAAAAAATTAAGTTTGATTGCAATAAATGTGTATCATTGCCAATAACAAACAATAAAACAAAGTTTCATGCAAATCGGATAAGATTAAGTTTTTCGATTCGTCATTTGGAGCGGATTTTTTTTCCTTGATTTGTGTTCCGTCGATCTTATTTATCTTATTATTATTGCTGAGCACCAATGCTTCCGACGCCAGGGAGGCAGTTCCAACACCTGAACCCTGTCTATCGACCCATCAATCCATAGACCAGGGACCAACACGGCTTTACTTCCCTTCCGAAGGAAGGCATGATCAGAGATTTTATTCCTCAGAAAATCCCAGCGGCGCCGACTGGGATTGAACCCAGGCCTTTTGGTGTGAGAGGCAATCACGCTTAACACTACACCACCGGCGCCACTTCTTGGAGTGGAATTGCTCATTCCTACATTTAATTCCAAACTGACCGTGACCACTACAGGCTTGTTGGTGATTGTCATAGCAACCACATTTTTTTTCAGCATTTGGACAACTAGAACCAAAGTTGGAGCGATATAAGTAAAGTTTAAATGCTTCCATAGTAATCCCCGTACAATTTTGAAACGATTTGCAGTCCTCTAAACCAACATATTTACCAATTTATGCAAAGACTCATATTTTGCAAGGTTGCAAATACTCATTTCAGCTAAAATAATGTTTTTCGGAATAATAAAACCAAAAGATGGTATGATGACATGTTTTACTTGTAGCTTGCAAGAAGAGATTACACAGTATGCGTTTGAAACATAAAACCTGTAAATTTTGCTTTCTATGAGTCACAATCAACGAACTGCTGATCGCTGAGTGAGTGAATGAGTGAGTGAGTGAGTGTGTGAAAAATCACTGATTGTGACTCTCATGAAGTGAAATAAACAGGTTTAATATGTCAAACACATTCTTTGCAACCTCTTCTTGTTTCACTCGCCAATCCAAACCAATCATCATAGCATCTAATTATTTCATAATTAAAACAAAACATTGTGTTAGCTTAACTGAGTATTTGCAACCTTGATATTTTGGGGTTATGAATAAAATTGGAGGGCCGAAGCACCCAAGTACATAGTGGTCTAGAATGGGAATTCAGCAGAAAAGTGCTTCGACAAAAATATTCCTTACAGCCTCATTTTGGTGTCAATTAATACTAGGGTGGTTCTTATTATCATTGAAATCAAAAAATAACATTGACATTCTTCGGCAAAGTGGTAAGGTAAATGACGGCTGGTTGCCGAAAACAATCAATGGGTGCCGACCTACTTACTAGGTTTTTTTTTCTCAAAATGTGGCTGATTTAGAGTTAGCGATAATAGAACAGCTGGTTAACACGCAGTTTAAATGGAAAGGTTGCCGAAGACAAAGAGGCTGCCGACAATAGTCACACTCACCTGAGAAGTTTGGAGCATTGTAAAAACGTTTCAAACAGTTTTGGACCATTCTATCGATTGGAAGAATGGGGGGTGAAAAGTAACCTCCTTGACCCCCTGAATGCGCTGCTACTGCAAAAAAGGTTATGGTGCCTTGTAGTCCGTTCATATTTAGGCAGACATGCCAAATTTCAGTCCGATACTGTCTTTAGTTTTGTTTTGACAGCTGATTGTTGTTGACGTTTTTGGCATCATGTTGAGTATGGATTCAAACGATTTTCGTTCTCTCGTAAAACATTATTTTTTGAGAGGCACAACGGCGAAGGCAAGCACAAAATAAATGTAAACAAACAAATCCTTCATTTGGGTGCGTGGCGATGAGAATGTTCTAATAGAAGCGCGGACGCTGCTTAAATTGACGAAAATACGTAAATTCCCCTAGCACAGCTAATTCCAAGCAACTTTGAGTATTTCTTGATTAAGATTAAGAGCAGTTTTCTTATATTGGTATAGGGTGTTTCTAAAAACAGAGTTTTGCTCAATTTTTTAATTTCATGTGTCGCAGCAAAGTTGTCTTCAGATAGCTATTAAAACTATTGAAGACGAAATTATTCCCGAAATTATTGAAGTTTTTCTTATAAAAATATGCTCTCTTTTAATGTTAATATCTCAGGATGGGGCACATATTAAAAATATCCTTTAACGACATTTAAAAGTGCTCATATCATTCTATATAATAAAAAAAATATATTTTAATAATAACATTTTGTTTTAAATTTTATTTTTTAACATCTATAGAATCAATTGGATACATTTCTTAAATAAAACAGGGTATAACTTTTATACAAGCACAGATACAGACGATGTTTTATAACAAAATATGCGTCACACGAAGCCTGGCATGAAGCTTCAAATGTCTCTCGAAGATGATCTACATGAAAAAAAAATAATTAAAATAGTTACACACAAACTATGATTTTCAAAGAGTCACCCTAAAGACATATTTAGACAAATGTCCTAATACTTTTCTTTTAAGATTTAGACGTTTGGTGTCTTCGGTGAAGTCTTGTGGTACTTGTCAACATTAAGGAGTTCCTCAAATTGACTGATATTTAAAAACAATCTTTCTTATTTTTGAACATGAGTTATGTCAATTCTAAGCAACTTTGCTCCTAAACATTTTGTCTATCTCTTTAAGTTCTCATTTTAGAGCAATATTGCAGAACTGAATTGTGGTGTTTCTTAAAATTTTGTTTTTTTTTTAGCTAGTCCATCTCTTTTCACTCAAATTTCTCATGATTAAAAATTAACGAACCTTATAGATTTTATAGAAGTTAAAGAGTTAAAGGTTGTGTCCAAAGTACGACCGCATTATTGACGTAGGACAATGAGATTATTTTCGATGCTCCATTCAATAATTTATTGATAACAAAATTAATAGTTCAGAAATTTAACTGCAATTTGAACAATTCATCACTCAAATTAATTAAATTGGGCGGTTTTTGAATTAATCCTAAAATTAAGATTCAATTTTTGAAATAAAAAAAAATTCCAAAATTAGGTTTCAAACATGTTTACCCAACTTTCGGAAACTTACTAATGTTAATCATGGCAAAACATTTTTCAAAAGTCAAAATGCACCTGACATTACAAATCTTAATGTTTCAGAACTATGACAGACAATTGCAACTTATTTAAGTTAACTTTACTTAATTTTATCTTTACCTGTACTCAATTAAAAATCTTTAAAAATTACTGTTATTGAACAAATGGAATGTCAATTTGATTGTTTCATTGTTGCATATTGAACTCCAAATAAAATGGATCAAATTCCATATAAGGACTGTATCGAAAATAAGTTGTAAACTAATATTTCTTTCCAAATCCATGAAAAAATAGAATGCAAAAAGGTTCTTCAATTCTTAATTCTTAAGAAGTTAACTTCCTAAAACCAAATAAAAACACATTCTTTTAAGTACTTTTATGATCTTTGGATTTTGGACAGTGTGACAAAACAGGTATTTCAGCACTCATTACTGAAAAGTTTCACTTTTAACACTGTTTTGAATAACATAATGGCTTACTTTTCATAACTAAAATAAAAGTGTCGAAAAGTACTACTTTTGAGCTTCTAGTGCCGAAAAGTTCTACTTTTCGGCACTCTTTTGAGTGCAAACAATTTTGCATTCAACTCGTTGCAAAATTCGAAGCCTCGTTGTATAATCTACGACTTGTGGTGAAAAAATCTCCATTTTTCATCTTGTTGCATAAATAGCTATTCCGCACTGTTTGTACATATAGAACTACATTTTTTAAAGCTGTTTCATGATATCCGTTGGTTTAGCATCATTGTAAAAGACTGTGAAGAAAATGCGTTTTGAATATTTCTTAGATTTCAGTAAAAATAAATACACTGAAAATGAAACGAACTCAGAGAGTGAGTCACTTTTACTCAGTTGTGAGTCACTTTTACTCATTCGTTTGGCGAAATTTCTCAAAGCGTAGGTCACTCAGTGCATGAGTAACCCACGCTTTTAGAATATTCTCCATACGAATGAGTAAAAGTGACTCACTCTCTGAGTAATATTCGTTTTAAGTGTACCGAGCTAGAAAGGAACGGAAAAATGGAATATTATGAGTTGTGACAATATTGCATGAAACCGACGAATAATCTATCTGAGCCTATATGCCAACAATCACAATGTATCTAATGGAAATGTCAATTAGAAGCAAACAATAGGTTGCCAAATGGCATTCTTGTGCCACTCAACTGAACTGTCCTCCATTTAATAGGTCTTGTCCATTTGAACATCTTTGCTGGTATCCTTCTATTTGATGGGAATTTCGAAATTGGAATGACTCATTCAAGTTGACCTAGCGAGTGATACGAAATTGAGGACATAACTTTAAGGAACAACTTTGTTGAAGACACTTTTAATAATATTTCAATTTCAAGCTCCAAATGTATCTTTCCTGCTAAATTCCTATTCTGTACCACTGTGCAGTGATAAATGAATTTCATTAATCTTAGTTAGTTAGGCTCAATTCCACAATAATTACGGATAAATCTACCTGTTGTGCACATGTTGCTTTCTGGTATATAGCAGTTATAAGACACAAATATAAATGTAGTTTAAAATAATATTTTCAAATTTTTCGAAATTATGTAGGGAAAATGGCTCAAATCTTGGCCTATAGATCTTAGATTGGGCCCATCGCTAAAAATCTGCTGATTATCAATTTTATCTAGATGAACGCGTCATTGGGACGGTACTAATGGATATTTTTGGTCGCTATTGAAAATTTAGTCGATTGCTGAAGTTATGTATGGGCCCAAATTAGGGGCATTTAGGCCGACATTACATCAATTTCCCCTATATTTGCTGATTGAATGAAAAACAAAATGCAATGGACAGAAATTCAATTACTACAGATTTCCTACCAAACGGCGCAACAATGTCTATGCATTATTATTATTATTATTATTATTATTATTATTATTATTATTATTATTATTATTATTATTATTATTATTATTATTATTATTATTTCTTTTTTATCTTCGATATTGGTATTTTGGAAAATGACAAATTTGGTTAGACATTTACGGCAAAACGGTGAATGAATTACAAACAGATAAATACATAAACACAAACACATTTTCAAATCTCATCTAGCTAAGCCTGGGATCGAGAATTCGTTCTCTACTGTTTTTATAGCCTTCCGTTTCACCTAGCTAGGTGTACGAGAAATACAACACCTATTATGTACGTTCCTTCTCGGAATGCAATCCATGACCTATAACTCTTGTGTAGCTTCTCACGCAATTAATTTGCTTCCAATTTTCAGATTGATGTACACTGTTTTCTACTCACCGACTTTCTGCTGGTATGCAAAAAGAACAAACATGAAAACTTGAAGGTAAGTTTATTAAGCCAGCTCATACAGTAGTTACACGAAGTTATACATTCATCATATCATAAAGGATAGCATACAAATGTACTCAATTTTGCACGAACATACAAATGCACTATCCATACATTCTCGTTCATATTTGAAATGTTTACCCATTGCTACAGCTACGATGCAAACCTGCTGTGAGAAAGAGTTGATTGTTTCCATTTGAGCAGCTACCTCGGGCCAATACTCTGATCCCCCCTCCACTGCTCTCTCGATTGCGTTAGACAGCAATGTTTAAATCATTTGCTTTAAGCCTTCACTTTTCCCGCTTCATAATGTGGAAATTACTGGCACCAACTTTTGCACCCTTGCTATTTGCTTCGAAACTGGAAAAGAGGAAATTAGTACCATGTGTATCAAGTTAACCTCATTTCGTGTACGACTTAAGAAGTTTAAGAAGAATACAGTTTTATTCATGCATTGAAGAAAATTTAAATAAAAGAAGCTTCTAGATGATTATATAAGCAGCTTGCAGAAGAAGCTTCTTAAATATATTCTAACAGAAGCTTCTTTTGGAAGTTCATTCTAGACGCTTGACCGTTACTACGCTCCTCGGACTAAAAAAACATCTATCAAATTGTGTCCTATACACGACCGTAATATGACGTAGAACTACGCCAAATTGATGTATGTCATGCATTTTCTACTATTATACTCTATCTTAAATTTTTCAATTATTTCAATGTTTCCGTTATGGTTCTCGACGACAATTCATGTTAGCATAATCGACCACCGTTTATCTTACGCATGAGATAATGTATTTAAATTTATTACATTAAATTAAGAATTGACAGAATTTTCCCTACATAACCACATAGGGTTGATCAATGTTGATCTATTATGCTGTGATCAATGTGCACTAAATTCGACATCAACTACAATAGGAACTGACACTATTTCGTTACACATTTTTTGTTGATTTGCACCTCAGTATAATACACAAAAACGCCATGCATGTTGTGGGATAAAACAATTCGCAAAAAATGCGTTATTTTTTTCAGCAGCTCCATCATTAGTTTTGAATTAGGTCTCTGAAGCAGAGAAGATAGTGAAGGTTGCATTTTACAGCAACAGCAACAGGCAGTTGTTTTCCCTATCAGAAGACGGTAGGGTTAACTACCCCATTTCCGGCCTATTAAGCACAACCCACACTTAGTTTTTCTTAATCTCGCGCAGTTTAGTACCAAACGGAATGTTATTATTACTGATGCCTTCAGAATTTATTAACTTTTCTGTATGTACCAGACGATTTGATAAAGAGAAACCAATCGTTGAGATATTGTCAAAAGTCTAACACTGCTTCTTGACGCCAAACTCGGCCTACGAATTCTAAACTCGTCCTAACGCATTGAAACACCATTGAAACGCCACTTCGGTCTATCGGATGAAGATAAAAATTGATTCGGTTGGAGTGCTTCTTTTGTGTTTGGGAATAATTAGTACAAACCTTGATATCACGCGTTCTCATTTACTTCTTTCCGTAGCTTATTAACTAAAGTATCGTACCAAACGCATAATTGACTTGTTAACTCTGAAATCATGGATTTATTTGATGTTTTCTGCTCGATAGGCCCAAAATGGGCGATTAGGCCGAAGTCTACCCTACTTTCAATATTGAACAAAATGTTGGTTCATATGTCAGCGAAGTAGGGGAGGAAGGGGTATAACGATCATACGGGGTTAAAGCACCACTTTGTTCTCCATAACATACAATTATCATGCATCATCATTATGTACTTTACAGCAGAATGATGCAAAATAGAATACTGTGACTTTTCTCAGTGATCGTCAAAGTCCATGTCTTTTTCGGGTTGTCGTTATAGGAGGGGGTGTTTTTCATATATAACTTTTCCCAGTTTCGATTAGTCATACGGGACCCAAGTCTCATCCCACCTCAAGGTTGTCAAGGTGATCACGCCGCGATTCTCCTTTATCCGCTGACTTGCTGCAGGACCAAGTGCCACGCCGTCCGAAGCGGTTATGAGCAGAGGCAGTAGTAGTAAAATTTACGTTTATTTTCTGGTTTTTTAAGTTTCATCATTTGGTTTAACATTTCAATTGGTTAGTCTTTGGCTCTTCATCTTTGTTCTAGTAAATTGGTTATTCTAATGTGATGATTGCGTTTAGCGCTAATTTACAGGATACCCTTTATGGGATTGTTTTCGCTAGAATTCAAAAATTTGATAACCTACCTACTTGAGCACAGGAAGTTACCTAACTACTTAAACTAAATGCCAAATCACGAATGATCTGGTGGTTTGATCGCAGACAAGCGACTCTGAACCTTTCCAGCGTGGAAGTCTTTCGCTCCTCGAGTGTTTGAAGACCGGCCAGGTGGTGAATCTCAGAATTAACTACGAGTTTGCGGTGGACTGTTAAGAATCATTCCGAGGATCTTGTTTTGGATCCTCTGAAGCTTTAGGTGGTGACACTTAGCACAACTCTCCCAGATTGGCATACCATATTCAAAAGGTGGACAAATCTTCCAGCTCTTGAAATAGTCGGATAGAACATCCAGGCCTGATTGTAGTTTACTCGCCAGAGCACGGATCACTCGACCCTTATAGATGATGGAGGTGTCATCTGCGAACATTGACAGGATACCACTACCCGACAGGGGAGGAACGTCTGACGTGAAAATGTTGAATAGGATAGGCCCAAGCAGGCTACCCTGAGGGACCCGTGCATCAACGTTGAACGTATCAGAGGGGACATTGTTCAAGTAGACCTGGAATGGTCTGCCCGACAAGTAGTTTTTGATGATCTTCACGAGGTAGATCGGAAAGTTGTATCGATGCAGCTTGTACACTAGACCATCATGCCAGACATTGTCGAACGCCTTTTCGACGTCCAACAATGCCATGGCAGATGTATTGGAAACGGACTTATTCCGCTTGATGATGTTAGTAACCCGTGCGATTTGGTTAAACCCAAATCGCTCTTTGAGAAAGATGTTATTATCATTTGAAAATACCAGCAGACGGCTGAGTTTCAACTTTTCGAATAGCTTCGAGATGGAGGACAAGAGGCTGATGGGGCGATAGCTTTTGGCACTGGTAGGATCTTTGCCAGGCTTGTGTATTGGAATCACTTTGGCTAACTTCCAGGATTCAGGGAAGTAGCCAAGCTCCAAACATTTGTTGAAGATAACGGTAAGATGGTTGAAGAAGGCAATACTCAAGTTTTTCAACTCGAGGTTGACTACACTATCCATACCCGCGGTCTTCATGTTTTAGTGCTTCTAACAGCTGCTATCACCTCATCAGCCGATATTCTACTATCATCATGCACTACTACGGGGGTGTCGGCGACTCTACACATTGCCTCCAGTACGCCAGGCCCATGGGGGCTCACCATGGTTTTGATTATGTGAAATCACAAAATGTTGGCCAAGAGCATTGGCCTTTTCATCTGGGGTTATGAGTAGGGATGGGTCCAAGTTCTGGTCCACAGAGGAAAGCGGAGGGATTGGTCTCGACTTATTTTTCAAAATTTTGGTCATCTTCCAAAATGGTTTTGCACAATCTGGGAGAGAACGAATCTTGTTGGCAAAATTGTTATTTCTGAGTTCCACCATTCTGGCCTGGATAATTTTGGTTAGCCTATTGACATTGGTCTTCAAGTGGGGCAGCCCAGAACTCTGGAACTGCCTACCAATGGTGTTACGGAGCCTGATAAGATCTTTGGTTGGGCTGTCAAGGTTCAGAGTATGACTCACCTGTCTGGATGCTGGTACGTGTTGCTCCCTGGCACGGGATATCGCCTCTTCGATGGTTTGCAGACACCGATCGACTTCTTCGAACGACTCCGGTAGAACGTCATAGTCGATTGCTTTGTCCACACAGCGCTCGTACTGCTGCCAGTTGACAGGATGGTAATTTTGCGGGGAAACTTGAAACCTATTGGCCAAGGAACCCACTTCAGCCACCACCGGGTAGTGGTCCGAGCTCAGTTCCTGATAGGCGATAGGTTGAGAGATGTTATCGCCAATGTTGCTGATGAAGATGTCGATGGTGGCATGAGCTCCAGATCAACTCAACCGGGTGGGAGTGTCCGGACAAAGGATGTTGTAGTGGGCTTCCTGCAGATCGTTGTACAAGATTGTGCCATTCTGGTTTCATCGACTATTGCCCCAGGCTTGATGCTTGGCGTTCAGGTCGCCAGCGATTATGAAATTTTGTCGTCGTCGTGTTAGCTTGATGATGTCTCTTCGGAGGACTGCGGCCGAGCCGTCCCTAATGTTGGTTTGCTTGGGGCAGTAGACCGCGATGATGGTGATTGGACCAAGCGATACCGCTCACCTCAACTCCGATGGCTTCGATAGTTTTCAGCTGGAAGCTTGGTAGTAGCCGACAGCTGATGTTCCGTCTCGCTGTGATGGCCACTCCCCCTCTGGAGCTGGTGCGGTCAAGCCTTACGAGCCGATAGTTGGGAAGGAAGACGTTGACGATGACGGCTATGTCGATGTGCCGTTCGTTGAGAAAGTCAACAAACTCGATGTTTTTGCTTATCAAGGAGCAAGCATTCCAATTAACGATCTTGATGGCCTTACGGTCCATACTTAGTTAAAAGGGACAGGGAAGCATGTAGCTGTTCAGATCGAGTCTTGCAGGTGCGCATGATGATGATGACCTCGGCCACGAGCGTCACAAGTTCCTCCGAGGTGAACGGAGAATCGTCGACAGGTTCACCTGAGATTGCACCAGCGTTTGATAAACCAAGAGCGGTGGATGAACCTGGAATTGGCTGGACCGCAGTTGCAGCGAGACGATGCTGAACTGTCCGATTGTTGGGAACCATCTGGATACTCGCAGGATTGGCTTGTTGGTTGTTGACCGGAAGCGGGGCTAGGTTTGGAACATGTCGACGGGGCTGGAGAGCTGGGTACTGGACTTCCGTGAGTACAGGAGGCGAACGATGATTACGGAGGCGACCGGGCTGATTGTTGATTGTAGCCTTCCAACGGATATGTGGAGTGGAGTTTAACTCGCTTGGGACATCCGCGATTGGAGGTTTGGGGGTTTCCACCGCAGTTGACACACGTTGGATCGATGTCATCATCTTGCTCACATGACCCAGTTGAGTGAGTTCCAGCACACTTGCCGCAGTTTGTCTTCATCTGGCAGTTTTTGGTGCCATGGCCATATGAGAGGCAGTTCATACACTGCGTTACATTACAATGTTGGGGCTTGTAATGCTCCCAACTGATGATGACCTGAAACAGGTCCTGGATTTTGGATCTCAGAGCCGCAAGACTGGTGGATTCCATAGTGAAATGCACCAGAAACAACTGATCACGGAAGCTGGTGTTGTGGTTGGATCACCGGTTCATCGGGTACACTGCCTCAGGCTTGAGCCCAAGCCGCTCCAGCTCGGATTTCACCACAGCCGCCTCAAACGACGATAATCCATCCTATTTGTTTGTACTCCTCTAGGCTGGAGCACATGATTTTGGTACCGATGCTGCAAAACTTATAGCGTGGCAGCAGCTTGTGTTTTGCCAGTTCGGCACCCTGCTTGGCAACATCCTTCACCGCCGTGAAAAGCGGGGGAATCCGCTCTCTTCTTGCAATGGGAACGGCATCACCATCACCATTTTCTTCAGGGAGTACTGCATACTGGTTGGCTTGCAGTACGCGTTTTCCGGCGTCATCCTGCGATGCGCTGGGCTTGACGCTGCTGTTTCATTGGCACGTTTACGCACCATTTGCACCGACAAACCGACATGACACTTAATTCTGACTTATGCCCGAAAATCGTAAACGGTCGATTTAAATGTGCAGTGACCCGAACTGTCAAAACCATAGGATTTTTTGATCTAGATAAAAATAATTTGTCCAGAATAGATCAGACACGAACGAATTCATAACTTTTGCATGCGGGCTCATGGCTTAGCTAAATATTTCGAACCCGGAGCCAGATGTCATTAGTGTGCTTTGGTCAGAAATTTTATTGTTTTTGTTATGGTCATTCATGTCGGTTTGTCGGTGCCATTTGTTTCGTGTTTGCAAGTTCAAGTAAACTTGCCAGAACGCGAAAAGGTGACGAGACTTCCATGGCGCAACGCGAACGCACAAAACGAAACAAAATCGAATCGAGAACTCGAGCGAAAATACGGACTGAACAGCTCAACAGTCGAGCAAAGAATCCAATGATGAGCAGAGGCAGTACTACTACTACTACTGTTTAAGTCAGTTAATGATAAATCACTAACAGAATGTTATCAAAATGACCTGGGTGAACAATTTTTTTCTGGGCAAGCGGGTGGAATTAATTTAATTTAATTGTTAGTTGATTAATCGAACAAAAGGTGATCGTCAAAGTTCATGTCTTTTATCAGGTTGCCATTATTTGATTGAAAATTGGAAAAGTATTTACTTCAGCAGATTCGTTAAGTAATATCCTATCGATTGGCTTATTTGGATTTTAATTTCATCTATAAATGACAAAGTTCCAAGCGTTCAAAACCTAACACTATTTCCAAACACATATTTTTTGATTTGCACCCCAGAATAGTCGACAAAGATGTAGTTCTACGTCAAAACACGGCGAATCTGTGCGTTTTTGCAAAGTTTAAGGAGTATTGTATCGTTTTAATATTGGTTTTAAGAAAAAGTCAGGTGTGGTTGTTCGATAGCTTTTGATCCGTCGCTATGATTTAATTTTAAACTGAAAATTTGAACACAGCCTTATTTGCTTCTGCAAGAACAATGTTGAATAGTAACCCAACATTTTGTGCTGATTAAAGGTAGATTTTTTAGCTGAAGAAGCATATAATATGTTTGCCTGAATAAGCTGTTATTCTGCTTCCAATGTTTGTTAGGTGTGTTTGAAAGCAAGCTTGCAAATGCTCATTACAGCTTAAATGCTATTTTTCGGATTTATGAAGCTATGAAATATGTTAAGGTGATACTCTAAGGAAGCCTTAGCGTGAAACTGCTATAGCACAAATGTCAGTTTCCACAAAACATACAGCTCTGTAATTGCTACTCTCTGTTTGTTGAAGCGCAGCAACCAATGAGTAGCAATTTCTTATTGACAATATGCAAGAACAGAAGGTAATGTATTTGTATGATACATAAAACATGTTAATTTAGCTTTCAGAGAGTCACAATAGCGATTAGCTGTAACGATGAACGACGCGATGAGCGACGCGATGAGCGAGCAATCAGAGATCATAAAATCGCTAGTTGTGACCTTCTGAAAGCAAAATTGATAAACTGTGTATGTCAAACACAAACTTTACCACCCATTCTTGCTTCTTACAAATAAGTATCATTATAGTATCTCATAGTTTCATAATTCCAAAAATTAGCATTTTAGCTGTAATGAGCAATTGCAAGCCTGTTTGAAAGCATTATTCTGACATTCAACTCATATAAAGTCATGAATTATGTTGAAAAGTCATCTTCAATAAATATACTTTAAGCATAGCTTGCCAAACTTCATTTTCACGTAAACCTGCAACTTGCAAGAAATGTTGCTTTGAAAGGTGGTCGGTTACATACAATTTAACGAATATCTCATGACATGTGTCATAAATTTACGTGATCTATAATGTAAACTTGTATGATATGTGACGCTCCATTTATGTGCATCATAGTAATAGAAATTTACACTACTTTTTCTAACCGTGTAATTCGCTATCCTTCATTGCGTCTTGTACCGTCCGAATTTAAGGCAAACGTCATTTTTTGTGGGATGAACGTCCGGCATTCTTACAACGTGTCCCGCCTATTGTACCCTTAACTTAGGCCTGTATGTTAATTTCTACAAGCTGTCGCTGTAATCACATTAATCAAGTTTATTTTTAATTTTATATTAACCTAATGATTATTCTTTTACACATTCCAGGTCGTCCGACAGCCATACATGACAGATCGGTTAGTCGTCCAAATCAAGGAGCAAACCTTATTTTGTTGCTACCTAAACGAACTGTCGATGGTGGTGGCTGCCTTCACATTGCAGTGCTCCAAAGCTCAAAATTGGTACGACTCGATCACAAAAGCGAAACATATCTACACCCGACTGAAACAAGGAATTGTTGCCGACGTGCGCCAGTATGGCAACATCATCAACATTGGCAGTATCAACAGCAATATGAACATCAACAACGACAGTCTCAGTATTCGTAAATCGCCTCTAAACAGTTCTATAGGAAGTAGAGTCAGCAGCTTGAATAATAGCCATAGCGGTTCCGTCGACCTCAACGAATCCAAGCCGGTATCGATAGATTTCGAAAAGGCCAACTCTCTCTCTAGCGACGAGGGTGGGATTGTTGGGGTAGCTGGTGCTTCAGTTCCGGGCAAGATTGGCTTAGTAGGACCAAGGAAAGTAAAATCTACCGTCACAACAGTGCAATCGTCGTCGAATTCTTTAACCGTACAGCCGTACAGTGGATTAGGACAAAGCATGCCCAATCTTAATCTAAATTCCATACAAAATAGGTAAGTGGTAAACACTTGCTTTCAAAAACATAAGCTTATGTAGTGTAGCAAACGTTCATTCCATAAACTTAGTTTTGTTTACAGTAATACGTTATCGGTACCGGGAACATCAGCCACTCATTCTCATTCCGGTATGGTGCTACTCTCTCCAAGTCAACGAGGAATATCCTACCCACCGCCATCTCCTACAAGGTATTGTATTTCAAATGCAAATTTGCATCCGAGCCTAACATGTCCTTCATTTGTAGAGCCACTTTACGAAGGGGATTTGCATTTTCCTCTTCGATCAAGAACCCACCGTTGATCAAAACTCGCAATGTGGCCTCGCAGCAAAGCTTCATACTATCCCAGCAGTCCAGCTTCAACTCGGCCACGCTAGGTCAGCACCAACAGTGTCTCCAGACATCTCCTTCGCCTGGCAGTTCACCGAACGTAGCCTTCGTCAAGCGAAAAAATAGCTTCCATAGTCAAAGCGGTGGAACCGACCCAAATACCCCTAGCGGCGAAGCTACCTAGTATAAGCTACTATCCACCAGCCGTAGATAGGAAACATTCTACCTGGTATCCTACCGTAGAAAATAGCATTTACTTTCCCCTCTCCAGCCGAGCTGAGGAGGGCCATTTTGTGACCTAGGATCAAACGTATTGTGGTATTCATTAATGAGATGCACATATTTGTTGTAAATATTTGAATTTTAACTACCGATAGTAATACATCAAAATATTTTAAACCGTACTGAACAATTATACTGACAATGTTTTATCTCCAAAATGTTTTAAATGGATCAAACGAAGATGTTTTGAACTCAAACAAACAAAACGATGCTGTGACAAACTCTAGAGTTAAAGAAGGGAGAAAACGTGGAAAACAGAAATTTTGAAAAAAAAAGATGAAAAACTCTTGACATGAACTGACTGTTTGTTTTCTGTTCCTTCGATGTGTAACATAATGAAATGACGAGTAGCTTCTTAGTTTTTCCCACTCTCTTCACTTTGCGCGGAGCGGTTTAGTAGACGGCAGCAATGCTCGTTATTACTAGTAGTACCTAGAATGTTACGCTTGTTTAGTCGTTGATAATGCTGAATAGAGCAAACACTGAAAGAACATACCAATTACAAACAAAAAATCAGCTTAGATGGATATGGTGGCACGACGAGGCAGACTTGAAACAGGAGTGTTTGGGATAGTTGCAAAGCTCTCGAAAAAAAAATCCCTTGTTTTTCATCGGATTGCAGGTTCGTTATATTTTTGAGCATGAATAAACTATAATTAGATGCATTAAAATCATGTAACAGATAAAAAGTTCTATTTAAAACAATCACGATTGATACACTAAATTTATTGCATAATAGTTTCCCCTCAATCGGTAGTTCCACGCTCGAAAAATATTCTTTTGTGCACAATGGAAAAGATGACATTTAAAAAATATTATTGCTAAACTTAGGAGAAAACCGGTTCACATTGCAGATCAAGAGAAACGCTCCAATTTACAATTCAGATTGTCATAAATTCAGACAATGATGGGGTTGGGAATTGTTCAGCTTAAGGACGATTCATATCTTGGATCTTTGGTATATTTTTGAATATTAGGATGATGGATGACTCGCATAAAGCTATCTTTTTTCTTGGGAGACGTTCAACAAAATTTAATACAAAACACTCTACCGAGATGAATCACCCTTTGGCTGAAACTCCCGCGAATAAAGCTAAATTAAATAATAATTTGTAAATTATACAAACCATATATTAAAATGTCTCCAAGTTTTACGCACAGAATAACAAGCGTTTATTGCATTTTGCCATAGGAACAGGAGTAAAGAATTACAGAGTCATTAACAACGTGAATGAGATATGTTGTGATGGAAACTTTGAAGACTAAACTTATGTTCAAATAAGTGTATTTTAAAAATAAATATAAATCTTGATCGGTCAGCTATTAGTCATATGCTTTGGTGTTCTAAATGCCAGTAGTTTGCAACTAAAAAAAATTCAAATGGAAAACATGAGTTTTGATAAACATTGAAGTCAAAGGGTGTGTTCCTCACATTGTTGCATTCACTTTTGCAGAATTCGTTATATTTGCTATGCCCAAGTAAATTTGATAATTTTAATATGCCCTCCAATATGAATGATTCCGAAAAAAACATATGTTCGGAAGTAGCTCATAGGCGCTACTTGTCCTACCTTACGCATATAGGAAAAATTGAAAATTTTCTGTTCTTGTGAATTATTTGACGTTTGAAAATTTTATCAAAATATGGTTAAACAAGAATGCGCGTAAATTGTTTTTTTTTTAATAATCAAGCCAAATCAAATCATTTTCTTTTTTAAGTTCACGAAGTATAAATACAGAAAAAAAATCCAGCTAAGCTTTCGGTTGACCGAATCCGAATTGCCGGGTCATCAGATTCTGTACAGCCACCTCGTTTGTTCACCGTAATTTGTTCGCCGCAGAACGCTAGTTTGCATTAAATTGCTTTCTCGCTTCCATCAGTTTTGTTGGTCTTCTTCAGACTCCGCTTGACGATGGCCCAATATTTTTCGATTGGGTGGAGCTCTGGCGTGTTGGAGGGTTCTTGCCCTTGGGCACCACCTGCACGTTGTTCGTGGCATACCACTCCATGGCCTTTTTTCCGTAATGGCAGGATGCACGGAACAATCGTGTTGCTTCAGGAAAGGCAGCAGACGTTTTTCCAAACACTCGTTCACGTAAATTCCCTGGTTGATGGTCCCACTGACAATGAAAATGTTGCTTTTCAAGCCACAGGTACAGATAGCCTGCCAAACCAGATATATATTAGTGAACTTCGAAAGTTGCATATGCTTTAAAATGTCTGCCACCTTTCCCCTTCCGGTGGCCGTATAAAACTCCTGCCCAGGAAGCTGTTGAAGCCTGCCTTGACGTAGGTTTCGTCGTCCATTACCACAATCGAACTTCGTCAGCATCGTCGTGTGCAGCTTTCGGGATCGTGTTTCGGCCATCTGTTTATCGTCGTGATTTGGAGTCACTACCTTCTTATAAGCCTACAGTCCGGTTCGCTTTTTTGATTCAATGCACGGTTCTAGACGATACTCCCAGCTTGTTTGCGACATCTCGAATGGAGATGTTGGACTTTCGTTTGAAACCGCTGGCCACTAGTTTTGTCGTCGCTGTGGCTTCTAGCTTTCGATTTCCCCCCGATCCAGGCTTCCTGGCTGTCGACAAACGTTCCCCACACCAGGTTTTTTTTTCCTCTGTTCGGGACCTAACACTACTGCGACCAGTAAATTGATCTATTGTAGTATATCCCGTGTCCTTAGTTAAGTGCATGTCGTATTACTCCATCACTATTGAAAAATGATGAAGTATTCGATTTTTTACAGTTGCCACTCTTGCATTTATCGCAAAGATCCGACTCTATTTAATTGAAAGGTTCCGCTATTTATACCCTTCGGAGTGTTGAAACACCCTCCAAAGGCGCGCCCCTTTGTCAGTCAAAATTGGATTCCTTAGCAACAAAATTAAGGTATGACACCGATAATGACCATGCATCAGAACCCTAGTCTTAACCACTTCAAACTAGTGAACAACGAATAGAAGATTAGGAATCACATGGATGAAGACAACTAACTCATTTTTTTGCCTTGTTTCAAGATCATCCTTGGTAGACAAAGCCGAGTCTTGTCACTATCAACAAGGTATAAAAAGTAACAAGGACTAAGATGCCACACTAGCTTACTGTCAAGACTGTCATATGTCTGGCCCTTAATGTGTGTACAACATATGATTCCAGCTCTCGAACATCTGCGACTTCGCATTCACGGGTTTGCTGACCAGACATCGATCCCTTTGGGAAAATCTGCTATTTCAATCGAATATCTGGCAGTTCCCAAAGAGCTGCATCTCCGTTGTCATCTGGTTCGCTAACCAGACCACCGTCTACGGGATTTTCTGTTCAATCTACGTTTTGTCCAGCCATCCAACTCCTCTGGATTTCAACATCACGTCTACGGTCTATTATCACACCAGCTCTCTGTCAAGTAACAAGACTGGTTTGGTCTGGCAGTGATTCTGCGCCCCTGATATTGTGCAACATATCGTTCCACTTCTCAAAGATCTGTGACCCCGTTGTCACCGACTTCGCTGACCAGATATCCACCACATGCAGACATCCAACGCCTCTGGATTTCATCAGCAAGGCTGCGGTCTGAGCTGTTCCTCAGTTTTCGAACATCTGCGGTTCCGTTGTCACCGGGTTTTCAGACCAGTCAATTCAACGCCCCTGGGATGCTCGGTAAAGGTTCTGATAGTACGCTTACTTTCTGCCAGTCTCGATACACCATGGACAGCAACGTCACCGGCATTGCTGAGCAGCATGCTTGGCATACACAGTTTTGGTCACGAACTGCTCATTTGCTAATAACTTTGAACACAGTTGACGAAACATAGTTCTTTTTGAAGTACTAGATAGAATAGAGTTTAAGCTTGTTATAGATACGTAAAAAGAAGAAGATTTTAGTTCTAGTAATCAATTGTATTTGTTTTTGCGTTGTAGTTATTTTGTAGATTGAAGTTAGAAATTCTCGCTGCACATCTCGGACTTTAAGCGTAAAAATTCATTGGTGTTGATTCAAATGTTAAGATTTACCTACTCTTTGCATATCTATAGTAAGCTATGATTCTAATCTATCAATTACTTTAAAGAAAAACAAATGTCAACAACTAAGTGAAAAGTTATTAACAAATGAGCAGTTGGTGTGTACAACTGTGCATTCCAAGCATGCTGAGCAGTCATCCAACTCTTCTGAGAAATTCTGACCAATTAACGATAGGGCAATCCTAATAAAAATTGGCATGGTTATTTTGCTCAACGACGTGTTCAGGGTATCATCCTAACCATTTGTGAAATAGTTCTATTATTTGGGTTATCGTTCGTATATGGTATTTTTTTTATTAAGGAAGTGACGCGACTATATCTAAGATGCAGGAAATTTTTTGCTTTGCTGTTGTGAGATGCTCGAACGCTTAGTAGACAGAAGGAAGATTGATGAAGATTTTGAAGATTTCCTGCAAAAAGGTGGAGAGTGATGCTAGTAGATGGATATAGATGCAAGAGATGAAAAAAGATTTTTCGTATATATAAGATGTTTGTAATTCCGAAAGTGAAAGTGAATAAATTGTTTATTATTTTAGACAACTAAAAACACACTTACACTATCCTTTCTCCAATTGAGCTCAAATGACGAATCGATCTAACGCGAGCATCTCCAATTTGCATAATTGTTAAGGCCAGCGCACATTAGCTCCGGATCGAACGCGTTGCGGCAAAGTGACAGCTAAATCTATTGTCTAACTGTCAAATTTACGTCAACGCAACGCAAACGGATCTAATGTGGGTGGCCCTTTAGTCATGCATGGCCAATCATTCTCATTTGAGCTAAGATTCGGTCATTTTGACGCAGAGTTGTAATCTTGTAACCAAAGTTGGAAGCAGGGGTGCACGTGATTTTGATCGATTCTCTTCATCGACTTTCTGTTTCCTTAATATTAAACTCAACGGCAAACACATTCATAGATACGTTTGTTATTCAGGATGATAGAAGAGCATAGCAGAAATAGTGCGAAATAGGTTAGTGAAGCCATGGTCATCAAAAGAGGAAATCGATGAAGAGAATTGACTTTCACCCTTCAGCTTCTAAGCCCCTTCATTCAGTCGTCGTCATAGCAATGAAAACAAGCATCGCACCGTTTTTGGTTCTTGGGTTACACTTGCTAATTGCAACAGTTGTTCGGCATTTTTGGAGATGCCTAAATGTCCAATTATTCGATTAAAGATTAATCGCAAAGATTTTTTCAGCTATTCGATTAAATATTTATCGAATTTTCAATTATTCGAGCGCGTAACCAACATCCCTTCTTATTTCTACTCGTTTGATATAGCGTAGTAAAGAAAATAAATATAAGTACTAATTTATCTGAACAGGCATAGAGAAGAACCATGGCATAAAACAGGATCATAAATTCACCGAAAAAAGTGTTAAGCGTATTTCTGCTAAAGGTTAAGATTGACCAACTTGTTGAGAGAAGGAGTTTAACAAGAGAAAAAACTAAAAAGGGGAGGAGCTTTAGCTAGGTGGACACTCATATTCTGCGGCCTTCCAACCTATCGCAGACACCAGTTCAACCCCTGTCCAGCAGCAGACGAGACGAGACTCTTGTGAGTGCCCAATCATTGAACCGAAGAATATGGGATTGTCCGGTCCGATTAGCTGATCCAGCTGCCTACACGTCATCGTCATT